ACCGACTAAACCCAAACATAACGAATGAAACGCATGTTAAATCATATTTTTGGAGCCTAAAAAAGGGCAAAATCCATAAATTATTCAAAAAAGGCAAAATCCATAAATGCCATTATAAAAAAGGGCAAAATCCGTAATTAATTCATTTATTTCTAGGGGTAAGAGATAACAAATAAGTAAATGAAATTTATACATTTAAAAAGGAAAATAGAAAACATAAGAAGTAGGGGACCTTATGTGTGTGGGTCAATGTTGGTTTCTATTTAAAGCTAAGATGAATGATATCAATGGATTAGTTTCTCCCACCTCTTCCATCTGTTTTAAGCAACCACCCAAAAAACAATATTACATAACCTAAATCTCTACTTCTTCATACATTTATAGCAAATCCTCTTTTGCTTTAAACCCACCAAGAAAAAAAAATAACTCTGATCATTTTTGATTTTTTCCCATTCTCTATTTTGTTTGTACTTTTGGTCTCACTTTAAAAGATCAAGTTGAAAGATTTCTGCAGAGAACAATATGTTGGAAGGTCTTGTCTCTCAAGAAAGCTTATCCTTAAACTCTATGGACATGTCTGTACTTGAAAGGCTTAAATGGGTGCAACAGCAACAGCAGCAACTGCAACAAGTTGTGTACCAGAGTAGTAATAATTCACATGAACTTCTTCAGATACTTCAGTTCCATGGAAGCAACAATGATGATTTGTTGCAGAGTAGTTTCAGCCCATTTCAAATGCTTGGATCTGGTTTTGGACCAAACTATAACATTGGTTTTGGTCCTCCACATGAAGCAATGGATGAATGCATTTCAAGAACAAGTAGCTGCCATATGGAACCAGTGGATACAATTGAGGTTTTGTTGAAAACCGGTGAAGAAAACAGAGCCATTGCCTTGAAAAACAAGAGAAACCCAGAGGTTTGTATCTCCAAAACAAGATCATAATTTCGGTAAAAACTATGTTTTGAAACATGAGTTTTGATATAGCTTTTTAATAATGTCTCAGGTTAAGACAAGGGGAGAGGAAAAGACAGAGAAGAAGATCAAAGTAGAGGCTGAGACAGAGTCAAGCATGAAAGGAAAATCAAACATGAGAAACACTGAAGCATCTTCAGACACTTCAAAGGAGACATCAAAGAAAGCTTCAGAGATTCAAAAATTAGATTATATTCACGTGAGAGCTCGTCGAGGCCAAGCCACTGATAGACACAGCTTAGCAGAAAGGGTAATAAAAAGAAGTTACTTGTGTTACAAGAATCATGATATATCTAGGGTTTCTGAATGGATTTGGATTTGCAGGCGAGAAGAGAAAAGATCAGCAAGAAGATGAAATATTTACAAGATATTGTGCCTGGATGCAACAAGGTCACAGGAAAAGCTGGTATGCTTGATGAGATCATCAATTATGTTCAATGTCTCCAGAGACAAGTCGAGGTAAGTAATGAAACAATGTTTCTCTGTAATTTCACTTCAGTATTAACCAAAGAGAATAAGTCTAATTCTTCAAGAGACATAATTTGCAGTTCCTGTCGATGAAACTCGCTGTCTTGAACCCGGAACTAGAGCTTGCCGTGGAAGATGTATCTGTAAAACAGGTGAAAACACATTCTCTAGACCCTCAGAATCATATTGTTATCACTCAACAACTTAAGGGCTATGAAATTTCAGTTTCAGGCTTACTTTACAAATGTTGTTGCTTCAAAGCAATCAATAATGGTAGATGTGCCGTTGTTTCCGTTAGACCAGCAAGGATCTCTAGATTTGTCTGCGATAAATCCGAACCAAACGACATCTATTGAAGCTGTAAGTACATCTTTATATGAAACTGAAAACTTGTCAGAGTTTTTGTTCCTTGTCTGTGAAGTAACCTTTCTCTTGTATCTCTCTGTTTCAGCCATCTGCAAGCTGGGAAACTCAGTCACAGAGTCTCTACAACACATCTAGCCTCGGTTTTCAGTACTAAGAAAGATTCATTCAAACGACATGGTTGACATCAATCAATCATCAAAATTCAGAAGCAGATTCTATTACATTTGCTCATCAAAATAGTAATTTTTGAAATTTGGTTAATGCATTATCCCTTTGATCCTTGTTTTCTGATATTTAAAACCAGAAGAACTGGAGATAGCAATGCAATGGTCTTGTCACCATCAATCTTTGTGTATAGATTATATATATAATATAGAGAGAGAGAGATAGATAAATATGTTTTAGAGGACTTATAGATATGTCATATGTGTAGAAGAAAGAGAGAAAACTCTTGTGGTGATTACAATTCTTGTTTTTTTGGATATATAAATATCTAAGAAAATTATTAATCGTTTTCTTGTTTCTTTTTTTTTCTGCAACTTGTAAGAGTTTCGATCTTTCTAAGATTCTATTGTCAACGAAATGTATCCATCAATATGTTCCCATTTGAAGGGTATGGGTATAGAGTTATTAGGTCGCCATGATTTTTTATATATTGGTGGAAAAAACTTTGGATGATCAAAGTAAACGTACGGTAGCTAATGATTTTTCTTATGATCAAATTAGTTTACAATAAAATAACAAAAAAATAATTTTATGAACAAATTGTCCATTTGCCAAAGAAAAAAAAAACAAAACAACTAATTGTCAAGTTTAGTTTTATGATGATATGAATCATCAAATTAAATTTTAACTAAAAAAATCAAATTATATTTTTGGATAATTATTTAGTGTCAAAATAAAATTCGATTGAATTAAATACTACACTAGTAAACATTTAATAATAAGAAAAAAGAAAGTATAGGATTCTTCAGTGTCACCAGAATTGTTCCTTCCGTTCGTAATTCTCAAGGAGGATATTTTGAGCTGTACTTTGGTTTACGTGATACTGAGTAAGTCACTATTTTTTAAAAATTTAAACCAGAATATAAAGTCTTATGACTTATTAAAATCTTAAAATTAGGTGTATCCATCTAGAGTGTCGTTTGACGGGTGACCTTGCAGTCGAGTTCTATCACTTATGGAAGCGTCGTTCAGGTAACACAGTGATATGTATTATCAAGTTTGTGAAATTAGAGCTATCACAAGAACGTAGGTGGAGATGTACCAACGTTACCGGATGTACGAGGATTATGTTAAATCAAGATCTCAGTATTACCGACGAGATGCTTTGTTGGTAAGTATTTTTTGTTTTTTTTTCCGTTTACAATTAAAACTCTAAAGTTGCGACTGAACATTAACTGTTTATAGTGTTCTAAATCGGATGTCAGGAATCCTGAAAACGACCAAGTACCTATCATAACACGCAAGGAGAATGCCATGAAGTGATGATGTTCGTTGATTTCTTATTTTCTTGCAATTTTGTTTTAAAAATGATTTATTATTATTTTCTTAGTATTTATAATATTATTGAATTTTTATAAATTTCATCATTTACCCTAATTTCTTACACTAAACCCTAAACAATCCCTAATCTCTCATGATTTTACCATTCACACAACATTCTTCCCGCGCATTTGCGCGGGCAGTCACCTAGTTTAATAATAAGAAAAAAAAAAAGTATAGGATTCTTCAGTGTCACCAGAACATGATTTATAATTTTGGTGTCTAAATGGATACTGCGATTGTCACTAAACTAAGATTCTACAATTTTGACGTCAAAATATGATAATGGAAATTTAGCGCTAAAACATGATTCTATAATTTTGGTCCCAAAAATTCAAGTTCCCGCAAATTCATGAATTCTCTATTTTGATATAAATTGGTGAACGTAAAGAAAATCTAATGTAGTTTTAAATTTGTGTCATTTTTAGTTCAAAGAATGATATTTTAGACTTATGATTATTTTAGGTGCAACAGTTGCATTCAAACTCTAATTTTCATTACATTCAAAATATCTAATTTTGCATCCGGATGCAACTACATAATTTGATAAAGCGAACAACATTCATGCATCTATATGAAAAAAAAACAAAAACCCTATAAATTTTCAGCTTATTGTATTTTCTTTTCTAACTTTATCAATGTACTACAAATCTATTACTATATACAACTATAGTGATATGTATAATGTTACTGATGCTGACACATGCTCTCTCTATAATCTATATCTATATCATAATATGTTTTCTAAAAGTAGCTTTCAAGATAACAAGTGGGACAATGTTCTTTTCTCATATCAATTTTTCCAACCAATGATCTATTCATGAACTGTCTGATTTTGACAAGATCTATATATGATAAGATATTATCCATAACCAAAAATGAAATTGGAGGTAGTTTTCTTAAGTAGGACTAGGAGTAGTTAAGAGATTTTGAGAGGATCGAAGAATGAAGAATGAGAACCACAAAGAGTGGGCATCATTGTGGTTGCAGAGATTTTTAACCAAAGTGGACCTTCTTTTGTTCTTTCGGTTCCATTGAATTTTATCTATCTAGCCTTCATTTTTAAGTAGTTGGAAATCTCTTCTATATTATTTTAAAAAATTAAACAAAATTACGGAAATGTCATTATCACAAATAATGAAAGTTTTTCTTTCTTTCTGAAATTAAACTATAGTCACAAATTCTTTCAAATAAATTATACATAGAAAATTTTGGAAGACTACTGTTTTTAATGGTCGAAAAACTCATGGTGGTTTGGTAGTTGAATGACTTCTCCAGATATTGGTGGAGTTCAATAATGATTAGTCATGATAGATGTTTTAAATTGTTAGATTAGGCGATGTTTCATATGTTCCGTCAATTAGTCTATATTTAAGTCGAAATCCCTCAATCTTCAAATTATTGGAAAATATAAGAATTAATAAAAACATTTAAAACCAAAAGATATAATTTAGTTATGGGAATTAGTGTTAGTGTAGTCGTTATGTCACTATCCGGATTCAGTTTTGATATATATGTAATTGACCCCGGAAAAAAAAAAACTTCTTCTCAAATTAACAAAATTTGATTGTATGTCATCTACCTTCCACAAGTCTTAACTAAACAACAATATAGTGATGTTGAACATCACAATCTTATCATGGAATTGAATCGCTTATAACTTTGTAAGTGTTTGATCACTTTTATTCAGAAAGTAAAGTATAATGCCGTTTCTGCTTAACAAAACTAAACATCATGCCGTTTCAATCATTCATTAACGACACGACATTTGTCTATAAGCCAAAAGACGAATTCTCAAAACCTCGTCGGAGGGTTTTAGAAGAGGAATCTCAAATCTCAAATCTCAAATCTGGGATCTCGGAGAGGAGATATGGCGACGGAGTCATCGGAATCGGAAGAAGAAGGAAAGATTAGAGGAGGAAACGATAAGCTAATCATAGACGACGATCTAAGAGAGATGGGTAAAAACGCTGCTTGGAGTGTCAGCTCTTGTAAGCCCGGCAATGGCGTCACCACTCTCCGCGACGACAATCTCGAAACCTATTGGCAGTTGAGTAAACAAAAAAAACCCTAAATATCTTATCTTCCTCTCATTCTTAATCATTCTTAATCTCTATTCAATTAAAGGATTCGACTTTTTTTGTTTTGTTTCTGAATTTGTAGATCAGATGGGTTACAACCACATTTGATTAATATTCAATTCCAGAAGAAAGTGAAATTGCAGGTATCATTATGAATCTATTTCCTCAGATCTTTGGTCTTTTTGGTTGTTTAATTTTGGATTCTTTTGATTTTGAAAGTTAGTGGTTCTCTACGTTGACTTTAAGCTTGATGAGAGCTATACACCAAGTAAAATCTCTATTCGAGCTGGTGATGGTTTTCATAACTTAAAGGTAATATCTTTTTACTCTGAAGAAGAAGAAAGGATTCTCTTTAGATTTATCATGTTGTGTGTCTCTTTCTCTTTAATTGTTTAGGAGATTAAAAGTGTGGAGCTTGTTAAACCAACTGGTTGGGTTTGCTTATCTTTGTCTGGAACTGATCCACGGTATGTTCGTTTCTTATCAAGTTATGGTTTTTGTGGTTGTTTCTTACTAGAATCTAGCTAGCTGGTCATAAGATGAGCAGAGGTGTTTGCTACAATGTTAGTACTATGATCAGATTTTTGCTAGTACTACAAAGAAAGTCTGCAAGGTTATTAGTATTGCTTAGACATGTCTGTAGATAGCGAAGAATGATCTTGTTCTGTAGGTTACTAAGTATTGAGCTGATAAGTTTAACCATTATGTCCTCTTCTCAAGAAAACTTTTTGTCAAGAATCTAGCTAGCTGCTGATAAGCAGAGTGTTTGTTACAGTGCTAATGTTATGATCAGAATTCTGCTGCTTCTTTTTTTTGCTAGTACTTAAGAGAAAATCTGCAATCGTTATTAATATTGGTTAGACTTATCTTTAGCTAGCAAGTTTAAAGCTTTTGAGGTTTCACTTAGTAAAGGTCTAAACTAACTTCTGCTGTTATGAATGATTTGTTTCTGTTGGGTGCCTAAGCATTGAGCTGATAAGTTTAGCTATTGTATGTCCTCTTTCAGGGAAACTTTTGTCAACACATTTATGTTACAAATAGCCATTTTGTCGAATCACCTCAACGGGAGAGATACTCATATCCGCCAGATCAAAGTTTACGGCCCTAGACCGTGCGTCTCCATCTTTCCTTCACTTAAACTGTGCACATTATATGTTATTACTGCCTTTGCATGACTCTTGATCTTTTCGATTGCAGAAATCCTATTCCGCACCAACCGTTTCAGTTTACATCTATGGAGTTTCTCACTTATTCGACACTGAGATGAAAGATTTGAGCAGGAGAAGTTTGAACAACATGGGACTGTGAAAGATACTGCTATTGATACCACAGGAAGAGTCTATAATCAGATTAGGTTTTGAAGCTTATAGTTTCACATATTGTTGTGTAATGGCTTTTGTTTATATATTACATTGGATATAACAATCATAACTTCATTAAGCTTATCCACCAAAAGCCCCATCAAACTTTTGACACGGTGAATTTGGAGAGATGGGTTTAAAGCATAGTTCAAAAGAGCTACAACAATCTACATACAAAGAGCTTTTCGTGGATTGATACATTGAAACCTAAAGATAAGAAAAGCCTTCTATGATGATTTGCAGAGATGGATTTAACTCGGGTTAACTTTACCCTTCACATGCCGGTTTGGTGTCAAAGCTGCTTATACATATAGCAAAGGCTTGAAAAGCAGAGAGAGGGTAGCGATAATCCATGGTGAAAATGTCCTTACCGATTTTGCCAAACTGTAAGATCACCCTCTCATGTTCTTCGGGCGGCGCATCCAAAGAAGCGTCAATGTCTGCCACAAGCTGGAAATTCTTGACTGAAGCCACGGTCACTCTTCCCTTGAAGTTGAGGCACCAACACTGCAATTGCTCGTGCCATCTTGGGGATTTGTTTTTGAGAACTAGCGGCTGGTCCCTTAAGCCTGGAGTAATATCAGGGACCTCTCTGTCTGTTGTGCTGGTTTCTCCTTTTGGTGAAGGCGAGGAAGAGACTTCCTCTTCTATGCCTGGAACTACTAATGGTTCAGCAATAACAGAAGAGAGGGGTATAGAATCCATAGTGCAATGCATTCTTCTAGGTCCCCTTGTGCGAAGAACATTGAGCTCGTAGGTTACATTTCCTACAGTAGAGCTATTAGCAGGTAATTTAGGGGCCGCTTGCTTGGGGTGAAGTCTTCGGTTAGGTTGGCCTTGTGCTGTGGATGATGATGTTTGGTTGTCATATATTGTGAACTTGGTTCCCAGAAAACCAGACCTATCCCACAATATAAATAGAAGACTGTTTAGAAAAAGGAGCTTTCGATTGTTAAGACTTTAAAAGCAGGTGGAACTCAGGAGAATTGCTTACCTTAACTTGCCAACATAAGTGCTGCTACTCCGTGAGAAGTTTTTCGCAGATAGCGAGATTATAAAGTCTGTGCACGTTGCTCTTCTAATCCTTCTTGCTGCTAACAACAGTTTATCGTTCTCTGTCTCAGCTGAAATTCAAAAACAGGATCATCTTTAGAACAACGGTTTCTTCTACATTGTTCACAGTTTCATAAACTTTAGTCAAGGTATAAGGATTACTCACAAGGCATCAAACCATAATAGAGAATGTATGTAGCTGTTGCTCTATTCCTCTTAATAAAGCATTGAATTGGAGAGTCTCGCGGCCCCGGCTGCCCACAATCAACCAAGAATTTTAGATTTCCAACATGATAATGTGAACAAAGAACCAGTAAACTTTCTTTACCTGTTTCAATGAGATTGGAAAAGTGAGCTTCCCACACTGCTCAGGGATCCTCACAATCTCCATAGTGATTCCTCTCCATGATTTACAGACAGAAGCACAAGAGACAACGGCAGCTCGAGCGGGCCACGCAGTCTCACTCTCTTCAACCCTCCGGATAATGTCATGAAGCAATTCAGGTGGCAAAGAAGCCCATGGGCTCTGCGGGATGTTTTCCAGTGGTGGTGTTGTTTGATCAGGAGCAATGTGAGACGACTTTGACCAGCTTCTCTTGGAGATACCTCCAAGTCCATCCCTCACTTCCTTCAGATCACGAAGGATGCTTTTCAAAGACATCTCTTTTCAGCATACCACAAAACTCCCCAATAACTGCAATCCACTCAAAGTTCATGTTTTTATAATCTAATCAAAACCAATTCAAAGGAAACAAAACAAAGCTCTACACTTTCACATAAAAACTTGTGTTTTGCAATCAAAGCTCAACACTTTCACAGACAAAAACAGACCCCAAAGATAAAAACTTGGGATTTACACATCTATGCCAAATGGGTATCAAGAAAATATGAACTACTAATAGAAAGAGCTCGAATTATAGCATAATCTCTTCATGAGAACCCAATCTTGAAAAATCTCAGATTCACATTACTCCAACTTATTATTATCCATTGAAACTCATCAAAACCAATCTTTAAATCCGACAAGAAAACACAACAGATCCAGAAACCCCAAATGTGAAAGAATATTGAAAACCAACCTCAATGAAATCGATATCTGGATCAAAAGACAAAAACTTTGAAATCTCTGGAAACTGGAAGATGAAATCAGCGGCAGCTTCTTCACCGGATCCGAGAGACAAGATCGGAAAGAGAAAACGTAGAAACAGAGACAAGCATAGCTGTTTCTTGACAGATTCTTCGATGCTCGTCGTCTCCGGGAAGAAGAACGAATTCGCCAGTGACGACTATCTTGACATGATTCCGTCCGTCACCGGCGTTATCGCCGTCGTCTGACTCCGCCGCCGATCTCACCGTAGGTGAATAAAAGGAGTGGTCTCCACCAAACGAACCTGAACCTCTCTCTCTTCTTACAAATTGAGAGAAAAAAGGATCCGAAGTCTTCGCTGTTTCTTATAGTTTTCAAACAAACGTTTAAAGGCAGAGAGAAACTCAATTAAAATTAATATTAAGAAAATAGTTTTGGTCGGAAAATATTTTTAACTTCTAAATTTTTTTAGTTAGTCAAATAATTAAGAGCTTCTATGTTACGACCTGGCTTTAATTGATCATGACTTACTGCATGTGGCAATGACATATTTGGTCGGTAAAATGATATTACTATTTTTTTATATAGAAGATTAAAAGAAAACTTTAGAATTAGCCGACAAAATAAAACTTTAAGAAACCTATAACCTATTTTAGTTCCAATGTATCTTACGATGAAATTTGTTGAGATAAATGGCTATCACTAATTCACTATATATTAGTTTTAAGTTTGAAAGCATAATAAAAGTTTACACACTTTTTTAAGAAAAATTGCATCTAGTGTCTTTCAAAATTTTCATTATTCTTCAATTGTCTATGATTTTTTCTTCAATAGATTTAAGTTGGATATAACAATTTGTTTTCTGAACCTCTATAGTTATTTTTTTATATTCAAACTCTTTGTTTGATGTTTTCTTTATTTAAATAAAAGTTGGAGATTTTTTTTAGGTTTATAGTAAATTTGTTCATTTATTTCATTTTCATGATAAATATCTCTTATTTTATGAAAAGTCGCATTCAAGATGTCAAGACAATTAATTAGTCTAACATCCTTCTTAAGGCTTAACTTAGTCTAATCCATATCTAAACATATATCTCGTTAATAGAGGTACATACATACTCCCTCCGTTTTAAATTAGTTGCCGTTTAAGGTTTTTTCACGCTTATTAAGAAAACATTTAATTTTCTTGTTTTACCCCTAATTAATGTATTGTTTTATGTAATATTATTACTTAATAAGCTAAGAGAGTAGGAGTAAAATTGAAAAATCTGTCAAAATTATGCATTGAAAACCTAAAACGACAACTAATTTGAAACAAAATTCAACTTCTAAAACGACAACTAATTTAAAACGGAGGGAGTATTCTCTTTGCTAAGTACAATATTAAACTCTTTGCTAAGAGATGTTCCCTCCAAATAACATTTCTTATTGTTGGCCATGTTGAAGTTGAACATACACCAGTCCGATTGGTCCGGTTTGGATAAACCAACTGGTTTGTGAACCTTTATAGTATTTTATTTATTTATTTTTGTATCTAGATTCTTACTTTTTTGTAGTGAATTTGTTTCGATTTATTTTCATAACAATATAAAAGTATTTTTATATGAAAAATGCCAATCACTAGATAAAGTCAATAATCAATCTAACGGTTGGCTTATTTAATTTGGAGGAAAATTGTTGCATTTAGGATTAATTAAGGATTCGCGCAAAAGTTTTTTTCTCCTTGTATGTTGAATTGGAGACTCTTTTGTGGACGATGAAGTGTTTACTAGCGATTCTAATGACTAGTAACCTTATTTTGACGGATCGCTGATCTTATAGAGATGACTTCTAGCTCCGAGGAGTGACCTACTTTTTCTACAGAGATGAGAGATTTTGTGTATTACAGGGACTTATTCTCTATTTTTAGTATTAAGTATATCCCTTGTAGTGGTAATACCTCCGTCGTTCATCTTGTGAAATGTGCAAGAGGTCGCAGATTTTATTTTTCGAATATAAGTTCGACGGTATTTGATTGGCTCACTGTAGAAGAGAGTTCTTATCCGTGAATTAATATATGGAGTTTGATATTTTTATAAAAAGTACACTTTTATGTTCAAAAAAAAATTAAGAATTGTTCTCGTGCTAAGTATACTATAAACACAACTTGAACATACGTACTTACTTCATTTTTTTTGTTTGACCTTATCCAACAATTTGAAATGTTTTTAAAATGATATACACATCACACATGTATCATGTATCATGTATGATGTATCAATTTACATAATTAAAACTTCAAAATCTCTGTCAAGCCACCCATTTTGACACCATACATATAACAATACATATGAGAAAGTCTGGGTTAAGATCAAACTCCATGAAGTGGTATTATAATTTTATGAATTTGGCAAATAATTAATAGTCAATATATTATATATGCCACCTAATTTAACTTTTTCATATATTTGTTTGACATAACTATCCTATTAAAATTTTGATGACTTTTGATATGTGGTACCAACAATACCTAATGAATCGTATACCCAAAAATATCCTTCTTCTCCACCCATATGATTGATTTTTTTGACAATTTATTATAGTTATATATCTTCAAGTAATAATTATTTTGTGAGTGCATATTATCGAATTTAAAATTATGTGATGGTTACACAATGACAACACTAACACAAATTACTAGGTTACATATTATTTAAAAATAGTATTCTTAGGATATGACTTTATTATATGCACAAAATCTTCTTCAAGTAAATCACGAAAAAAAAAATTCTTCTTCAAGTAAATTATGACTTTTCCAGTTGCCACATGAATAACATTTGTAGCATTCATCCCAAAAAATGGTTACTGTTCATGCATAAACTTGTTAATGGATGTTTTTTATTTGTTCGTAAAACTTGTTAATGGATGTAGAAAAGAACAAATTGGTAACTCTAAATAAAACTATATTACCTTAAAATTAATTTACCGCGCGTAATCTACATTTTAGTTTCATCTTATTCACCAGAATCTTACCATTAGAGTTATGATGTTGAAGTGACTAAAGAGCCTGTGATAGATAGTAAACAAATAGCTTTTTAGAAGATGAGAATCATTACATTTTAAAAGCTAATAACTTGAATCATTGAAATTCACAATCAGGAGTATTATTAATTAAAACTTAAGAGTGGCTCGTGTTTGATATGTGGACCACAATACAACTATTTTATATCCTACATAAATATTTTTGTACACAAAAGTGAGAAGTAGATATTATGTAATGCACAAATGCAAATGTAAGTTATGTGTATGGGTCCATAAAAAAAAAGAAGAAAAGCATGATGGGTATTGATTCCAATTTGTGTGTTTGTCCATTGGGATTGATAATTTTGATAAGATTGGGAACTATATGTTTTTGCCAGCTTACACTTGTCAATTCTCTTACCATTACCCCATCATTCTTTTTATTAAATGTTCTCAAAATCTGCTAGTCAATTGAATAAGTACTAAAACCTTAGTTTAGTGACTAGTAATCCTGTTTTGTTGACTAAATTGGTAGATGCAAAAAGTAATGACTAAATATAGCAATTGATTAGCCAATCATCTAATCTAAAGATCAACTAAATGTTTGCTAACTATATAATTAACTCAAATGACTAAATACTTCGTCCATTTCCATTTTCATTTGCTTGTTTGTTCTCTATTGTTTGTATCACATCTTTGTCAATCTCACCAAATTTTGTTTGGTTCTTGTTGAATCTCTCTACTAGTCAATTAATTATGAACCTTTTGTCTTGATTCACTATACTTCAGATATCTACTAGTCCAATCGAAACATTACATCATGCACTTGTTTCTTCTCTCTTAGACATTAATATGATCAACACAAAAGATTTGTGGACAAAGATTCATGAATACAAAACCTGAAGTTTCTTCTGATACACAAAACATGAAAACATCTAATGAAATAAAACTAGAACAAAAGAACAACCAAATCTCTTCTCAAAACACTTAACGAGAAGCAAGCATTGAGATGACACACACAAGAAGAATAAGAACACCCAAAATCGAAACCCAAAGAACCCAACTGTTAGTCTTCTTCTTCATCTGATTAGCATAGTACAAACTATTAGTACCTCCACTCACAAAGCTCCCTGCATTAGCAACATTAGCTTCAATGTCATCAATTCGATCTCCTTGAGTCTCAACAAGAACAGCCATGTCAAGAAACACTTGATGAAGCCTATTAAGACTCCTCTTGATATCATTCACTGCTTCATGTCTCTCTTTAGTCTTCAAATCCATCTCTGGCTTCCCTTCAAATGTCTTAACCAAATCAGAACAAGACCCAGATCCAGAGATCATCTTCTCCATGTCTTCATTACTTGGTTCTTCACCAGTCGCTAAAAAATACTTCCTTTTGAGATCTTCTCTGTAATCAGCAAAGATTCTTTCCCTCAATCGATGAAACTCACTCATCGTCTCTCTCAGTTTCGCTCTAACTCCATTAGTTATCGAAGTTCTTGTCCTGTCCACGCAAGATCCTTCCTTGAAACTCGTACGATTCACAACGTTTCTCTTCTCAAGAGTCTCGATTAGGGTTTTGACTGTGTTGGCTTTACGAGAGATGGTGACGATGTTTGATTCCATTCTGTCTCTTAACCCACGTAAGATCTTGGTACTGTGAGTTGATTTGGTTTCTTCGTTTAGGTTTTGGAGATCGAGTAAGAGATGAGTGATCTCTTCGATTAGGGTTTTGATGGTTTCGATTTCTTGAAAGAAACCGGAGAGGTTTTCTTCATCCGCTGGACTGAAATCGAAGTTAAAGTCTTCACCTTTCTCCAAATCTCGATCAGATTCCATATCTTTCTTCGCTTGTTTCTTCAATTCAACATAACTTAAGAACGATTTTGTCATCAGATCATTCATCTTTGTAAAACCCTAAAACAAGAATCAGAGAAAAGAATCTGAGAATCACGAAATTAGAAACGAAAGAGAAGGAGATAAGAACAGAGCAATACGGTGATGGGTTTGTGAAACAGAGTAAAGATCTTCGTTATCTCTGAAACGGGATGTTTCAGTTTTCCGGGAGAAAGAACTGCAAAAGAGAAGCGATTCAATAATCGATGAAACTAAGAAACCCTAATATCAAAGAGGAAGAAGGAGAGACCTTTACCCAATAAATGCTTGTTAAACAAGGAACCGTTTCTCTCTCTCAACTTCGCTTCTCTCTCTCTGTGCGCTCCTCTGTGATTTCAAATTTTAAAGGAGAAGGAAGAGATATGGGGAAGTTATAAAGAAGATCTACAAGAATCCGATTATTCAGTTTCAAAGATTTGTTATTCAAAATTTGCTCTTTTATTAATCACAAAAGAGCCGTTGCTTTGAAAACGTTTCTGTTCCGATTTGGCCTCATGTTTCCTTTGTATACGTCGACGTTTAAACATACAAATAAAAAACGACACCGTTGCTACCAAAGGTATGCAAAAAAGTCTAGACCTTTATTGATGTTGCAGATCATATACTGCATTTTGATGCCAAAGGTACACAAAGGTGTTCAAATTACAACCAAAGTTGATTTTCACATATGACTAGTTCTTGTTTCGAGTTAGGGAATGCAAAGCTTGGACCTTTATTGATCTGTTTAAGCCAATTTACAGCATTTTGGGTATACAGAAGTGTATTAAATTACAACCAAAGTTGAGATTTTTTTTTGTATGAAGAGTTCATGATGCTTTTTCTTCTGCCGGTTGTTTTTGTTTATCGGCTTTCTCAGCTTCCAACTTTCTCAGAGTACTCGAACTTATCTTATTCCCACTCGATCCATCAGACACTATTTCCACAACTTCAATCTGCACAAGCACGTCCAAGAACGATTGGTTCAAGTGATGACTGAAGATCTTAAAATGAATCAGGCAACGTCTGGTGGATAAAAGGACAAACCTTAAGTTGAGAAAGCCCTCTTTCTGCTCTTTTTCTGTTAACTGACAAGCCACCGGGTAACGTCTCCTTGCTGCAGATGATTAGTATAAGAAGTCTTAAACAAGCAAGTGAATAGAAGAACATGTGGAAAGATTAATAGATAGATGGTGAAAACCTGACTACAATAGCTTCCAAATTTTCATCGACGATAGAAGGACCATATGGATCACTAATGGGTTCGGCTTGTACAACCAGCTCGGGCTTGATAGACTACACAAGAACACGCAAAAAAGTAAATAAGAGACACTCAAAATCCTCTTTCCCTTTTCCTTTCATCACACATTAAATAATTCACATGTAATGGCAACGACAAGTAATTGCCGATAGAAGAGATTCCACATTCTGGTGAAATTACCTTGACATATTTCTCCACATTACGCATCCTTTCTTCAATGGGTTGTATCATTTCAGCGAACTGTAAACACAAAAGAGTGAAGACGAAGAGGAATAAGACATCGAAAGAGCTCATCAACAAAGGGCAAAAAAAGTTTCAGACTTTGAGCTTAAAACCACAGAAAACTTCAGAACAAAGATGTTCAAAGGGTCTTCTTTTGCTTCTTGACCATAAGAACATCACTCCAACTCGAAATCAGTCAAACTAACCAATATAAAATAAAAAAAATCCATCTCCTGGGTCTAAGAAACAGAAAGTTTTGAAATTGAAACAAAAGTCACCAACTTTCCCTAAAATTGCTACTAATCTAAACAAAAAGGGAAACAAATCTAAAAGAGATTTGCTTACTTGCTTATTCGTCAACATTGGACCATCACACACTCCCACTACGATCCGATCCCTAGCCAGCTCCGCCGCTGCCTGATTTTTCCAACCCCACCATAAAACTCAATGGTTACTTCAATTCTCAAGAAACCCATACATAAGCAGAAATCGAAGAGAAAAAAAAAACAACTACCTTGAGGAACATTCGATGCCCATCGTGTAATCGATCAAACGTACCGCCGAGAACGACAGCACCAAACGAATTCACCGGAGACATCTTCGAATCTTCAGTAGCTGCCATTTAGGGTTCGTCTCTGAATTATTTGATTTGGAGACTTCAGACCCAAAAGAAATTAAAATCCTTTGTCACTCCTAATTGAATCGAATTCGCAGCTTCAGACACAAAAGAAATCGATTCCCACTACCAAAATCCCCAACTCTTCTTCTCCGACAATTTCTAAACCCATTCTGCTGTAACATGCGTGTTGTTTTATTCCCATAAACGGCCACAACAAAACGTTATAGTGGTATAACAAACGACGCCGTTTGTGGACGTTGCAAATCGAATACGATGTCGTTTCAAAATAGAGTCAAGAACATCGTCGTTTATGAAGCGAAGATGACACCGTTAAATCGTAGCTGAAGATCCGTATTGATACGACGTCATGAAGAAAAGTTAAGACCCAAAAAAAAAAAAAGCTAGACGACGCCGCTTGAGGACGGCGTTGAAGAAAGCTAATACGCCGTCGTTTAAAGAATGTTGATACGACTTCATTCTTACAAAGTTATTGTTTAGAGAACGGACAGACGACGTCATTTTAACAAAGTCGATGCGAGGTCTTTATTACAAGGTAAGAGTAGACGACATCGTTTCCGTTTGGGAAGGAAACACGACGCCGTTAAGGTAGTATTTAGTTTTGGAAAAAAGATATTCAACTACACGAAATATAACGGAATACATGGCTACACATGTCAAGTTTAGAAATATACAACTAACTACACGAACTAAATGTATTGCATGCCCACATATACCAACTATATGACGACATGTAGTCAACATCACAAACATCTTATTCCGGTACACCAATCGTCGAAATCCGGCGTTGACCATCGTTGACCGGCATTAACCAACAAAGATATGCAAAAATATGTAATATTAAAAACTAATACATATTAAATTCAACATAAAGATATTTTGTATATATATCTAATATATTGATTATTATAATTAGTTAGTTTTTTCAATTTAAAAACTAAAATAAAAGTGAAATAAAAATAATTAAGCGAAATACTTATTTGTACATTGTCAATAAAAAACATTAACTTCTTATTTTACAAATGCTTTTGCTAAAATCAATATCGTTAGATTTTATATTTTCTATATATTAAAAAGAAACATTGCGAATTTTTTTGTTGTTTACGCGTTATTACGAGAATTTGTATTAATAATTTTAATTTCAAAAATTTAACAATATATTAAATTTAGACTAAAGAGTATATAAAATTTTCTATATATCTTTTTTTTATGTATTATGATTTTGATTTTAGCAAAAAACTTTATATTTTTTTACCATGCAAAATTTAGACTAAAGAGTCATATACTCAATTTTTTGTAATAGAATTTTATTTATTTCGCTTTTGGTTTAGTTTTGAAATTGAAAAAATTAACTAATTATTATTATCATACAAAATATATATATTTTAAAAATATAGAATTTATTTTTTTTTCTTATTATTATACAACACCATAACCGATTCTATAGAATAATTCTTTTTAAAAACATTTAAAATAAATAAAAATATATTTTTTTGAATATTTTTGTTGGTCAATACCGGTCAACGATGGTCAATGCCGGATTTTGATGATTAGTGTACCGGAATAAAATGTTTGTGATGTTGACTACATGTCGTCATATAGTTGGTATATGTGGGCATGCAATACATTTAGTTCGTGTAGTTGATTGTACATTTTTAAACTTGGCATGTGTAACCATGTATTCTGTTATACTTCGTGTAGCTGACTATCTTTTTTCCTTTATTTTTTTATTTTCCGGCGTCGTTCAAGGTTTTACATTTTTTTTTCTGAATACGTTCAAGGTTATACATATGAAAGCAAAACTAGCAACAACAACAATATAAGAGTTTCAGAAACAATCCCAGCCTCAGTAGCACGTCGACACAATTTCGAGTTTCTATCTCCTTCGGATTATCTTGTTCTATCGAACAAACCACGGCTACAAAGATTCTGCAAATTTGACACAAAAACATAAAATTTTAAGAAAATGGAGCCTATTATTACAATAAAAAGTATTTTTGGGGGCCTAATTTTGCAACAAAAATTTTGGGGGCCCCAAACAATTGTTTCATGTTGCTGTGATTAGGGACGGCCCTGGATCTATGTTCCAATGTCACAGAGCTTGTCGTTTTGTTGGTGTGAAGCACTCTTGCAAGAAATTCTGAAGCTGTGAGGAATACAGGTCAGGAAAGTTCCGGTAATGATCGACATGAGGAGAGAACTTGAAATTGAAAGAATGTATGTTTCTTCCCATCTTCTGTTGTTCTCGGATGCGGAGCTCAACGGATTGAGACGGAACAACTTTGTCCCCTGAGCTGTAAAGATAGAGCTGAGGACATGGAGGATGGTTCTCATATAGTTTTTGGATGATTTTCGTTAGCCTCCTGCAATAGGAACAAATAACTCAGATTAATCAACCTAAAATACAAACAAGAAGCAGATGGGTTGTCTACTGTCTAGCGTGAAGCTTACGTATTGACATCCGGGAGGTTTAAGAAGATGGGGAAGAGTTTCTCTAGAGATGATAGCATCATGTTTTCAATTCCTAAAGGTTCCTTCTTTTGTGGGGTTGAAGCATCGTCTTCTTTTATGGGACTGTTTGGTTCTGTGGTTATGGTGGAGCTCCGCTTCTTCAGTATAGCAGCAGTAAACCCGGCTGCCCAAATCTGCAAAAGAACAGAGTTCAATTGTTGATCTATATAATCTGCACTCATTGCTAATCTATGCAAAGATGAATGATTATGATGTCTATTAAGACTACGCAATGATTAAGTACACGAATCAATTTTCAACAAAAGGGGCTTCAGAACAAGCTCGGGCATGCACTACGAAGGCAAAGCTCATTGTAACTTGTTCACCTGCTTAAGACATCATAATCTTTCAAGAAAACAAGATCGCATTCACAAAATATATAGGCCGATGTAACATAAACTGTGAATGATGGCAATGTAACCAAAAGAAATCAGCGGTTTTAACTCATAGCTATGGTGTTTTCTAAGTACTGAGTTATCTATCTACAAAGCTAATTGCTTAGGTATCAAAATCAAAATTCCCCTAGCCATGGTTCAGTAAATGCTTGTATCAATACAGAAATCTTCAACATAGAACTCAAACTAGCAACAGTTTCACAATAGCTCAAAAAAGAAATTTCCTTTTCTCTCCAGTAAACAAAAAACCTACAACTACAACAATATTGGCCTTTCCACTTCCAATACAAGACACAAAAGCAGTGGATAAATCATTCAAAACACATCCTTAAAAGGTAGAGTAACATTTTAAAAAGATCATACCTTAGTATCTAGAGGATCTGCTCCTCCCGAGTCGATGATACAACCTTTAATCTTTTCTACTAAATCTTGTCTACCAACAAAGCTCTCTAGCAATGCACCATAGCTGCAAAGAGTAAAAGGCTCACCAAGCTTAAAAATTCAGCACATTCATCATCTAATTCAATTACACTCAACACTAGATTCATCATCATCGTTAATAATGAGATCAGAATCACAAGGATTAGTTTCATCAACCCACACAAGCCAACCAGTGTTACTGAAACTGTGAAACACCAAGCATTTCTCTCTACCATCATCTTCTTTCTCCGATACCCAATTGACCAATTCATTCCCAAATTCAGCTATCCGTCGTTCAAGCCTCCGACCAAGATCTAACCGGAGCAAATCCCTAACGTCGACGGTGAAAGTAACGGCGTTAATTCCTCTGGAATTGTACCACTCAACGTATCTCCTTAAATGTTTCTCTTTCGCTCCTAACCAACCGAGAAGAACCACCGTCGTCTCTTTCTCATTCCCGCCGAATATCGCCGCGTTTCCACCTCCGTTCACACTCCGTGGAGCTCTGTTCCAGACAGCGACGCCATCGTTAGGTTCGGATCGGAATGGATTGGCGTGAACGGCGGTGTTCTCGAAACGAAACGTTGACGTTAGGAAGAAGATTGATTTGAAGAGATTCGAATTGGGTGGAAGCGAAGAGTATCGTATACGAAAGGCGGAGATAGAGGATTCTCTGGAAACGGCATTGTGTAGTAGCTTGATCGTACGGGGATCTGATTTTAGATTAAGCTTACTGAGAAGAAGACGATGATTGATAACAGAAGAAGTACTCAAGATTCTTGTAGCTGCTTCCATGGCGGATTTTGGATGATTGGGAGAAACCAAAAGGTTCTTCTCGTAAAATCGCTTCTAGGCCTGCGACTTCGGGTCGGGTCGGATACTTCGGGTCGGGTAATTCGGTTATTCGGGTAGTTCGGAATTTGAGTAATGGTACCGAAAATAACCGAATTAATAAACGGTTCGGTTCGGTTCGGGTATCGGGTTTTTCGGGTATTTTTTTTGGTTACCGAAATTAACCGAATATTTTAGATATTTGGTTAAGTTTGGTTAATTCAGTCAAATCGGGTCAATTATCGCGGTTAATTCGGGTAATACGGGTAGTTCGGTTAATTTCGGTTAAATCGGGTCGGGTAGTTCGGTTAATTTCGGGTAATACGAGTAGTTCGGTTAATTTTGGTTAAACCGGGTCGGGTAGTTCGGTTAATTTCGGGTAATACGGGTAGTTCGGTTAATTTTGGGTAACCGTTCGGTTAGGATGAACCGAACCGAACCGAACCGATTAGCGATTGCATATTATAATTCCATCCGATCGGTTATCTTCTCTTAACCGAAATCGAACCGAAAACCGAAAATCTCGGTTCGGTTCGGTTCGGAAATTTCGGTTCGGTTAGTTTTCCCAGCCCTAATCGCTTCGACTACCAGAAGAATGGAACCACTGAATAAATATATCTGAAAACAAATTAGAAATAGAAAACTAAACACTCTGTCTGACTCAGCGGGTTTCTCTTATGCATTAAGACTAGTATTTGTATTTGCTATTTTTATGTTCACTTTTCATTGGAGCTGATTCAATCTCTCTTCGAATTTTGAAATCTTGCATTTTGGTCTATACTACTGTCTTTTTACTCGCATCAAACTTGGATCAAAGAGTATAACATATCTGAGTTGGTCAAAAATCTGTGGTTTACCCACTGAACTTCCTCGGACCCCTAAGGACTCCAATATTGGTTTCTTGGTCTGGCAAGCTGAGCAACAATCTCGAAAGGAAACTGTCTTAAAGAGTGTCTCTCACTAATCTGTCAATGCTAGATCCTTCACTATATTTTGTTGTTGTTGCAAATGTAATTGTGCATAATAAAACCTATAAATGTTTGTCGAACCGATATCTAAACCAATAGAAGACCCAAAATGCTAGATAAGAGTACTGACCTAGGAAGTCAGGTAAGTACACTCGAATCTATACAATTTTCCGAGAATGATGACCAATCTGCATCTGTTTCTGTAAGACGATTTGGACCAGTGCAAGGTATTAGAGGCTGTCAACACAGCTTTGTGTGATTAGTTGTGTCCACAGACCACAGTAGTATCCAAGTCCTGGAATTCTAGAGAACACTTTTTTTTCCTACATGTGATTCCCAAATTCATTTAAACGTATAATTGTAAATACACTGTTACACATTACAATGAAAACCAGAAAATGCATTACTCAAAACATAAGAGAGATTTCTTAGTTCTGATAAGCTTCAAGAACTTTTGTTTTCCTAGTCCACCAGCATGACTATAGTACAATTTACTTGATATTCTTCTCTTCTTAGTTTGTATCCTTTCTTGCTTCGCCTATCACCACGTAAAGATCAGTACCTGATGTACGGTTCACATCTAATCCTGTTTTTCATTTCCCTGAGATGAATTGCTGCTACTGGGCCTATCATTTCCACCACCATCCCTCTGTCAAAAACATCAGCATAATCTATGTTAAGCACTCTTACTTTCCAAACCAGAGATTCAAGACTATCCAAAAGAAAATCGAATACAAATCACTCGTGTGCACAAAGTTACCTTGAGTCTTAAAAAGGTAAGGACACTGTGAACAAGAAACTTAAGCAGCTTTACAGGCTTTCTAACGTCGAAAGGAAAGTATCTATACTTGAACATGTGCACGATTAAGCGTTTCATAGTGAGAGAATACAGAACCAACCAGTAACACAACAAGATCGGCCAGAACACAGGCACATCCAAGAAGGAGAAGAAAGTCATCACAAATGCAACAACAAATGCCTTAGTAGCTGCATACCTGAATCAATCAAGAATAGCAAAAAGAAACAAAACTTTCATGAGAATTCAAACCCTAAACCAGATCATCGGATTGGCAAAAATAGAAACTTTCATGAGAAATCAAAACCTAAATCAGATCTCACACGAATTCACTAACATATCAATCATCAATCAAATTGTAAATTTACCAGAACTTGATCAAGAATGGTAAAAACACAAACTTTTCGTCAAACCCTAAATTCAAGATCATCCATCATCAAAAGTAAAAGAGTAAATTTTTACCAGAACTTGAACTCAGGAAGACGACGAACAAAGGGCTTATACTCATCAGAATCATCAACAGGTAAAGAATCAGGATCCAAAGCTTCAAGCTCAGGATCAACTTTAGGAGAGAGGAAACCAATCAAGAGGTTTAAGATATAAGTAGCTAAGCCATAAGAGATAACGAAGTATCCATAAACAGAGTAAACCCTATAGATATAGATCACAGCAGCGACTAAAGTCACAAGCCATCTTCGAACAATGTTAGGAGCAGATCTGTCTAAGTAATTCTGAAATGATCTCGAGAATTCGATTCTCCATTTTGCAAGTGGTGAAGCAACTATGGTGTCTCCTTCATTTTCGCTTCCTGGTTCGTCTTCCATGGCAAAATCTGAGCTTAGTTCACAATCACTGATCTATGAATCAACTAAACAAATCGACTCAAAACGAAAGATTCAAAGAGAATCTACTCAATTTAGGATGATTTTGAAACAGTGAAACTGAAATTTTCTCAGTTTCGTCTGATTTTTTCTTAGTCGTGTAAAGTCGTTTGCTTGGTTTTTCTGGAAAGATGAAGAAAACTGAATGACGCGACACGTGTCACGCTTTGAGATGCTTTCCGGGAAATGGAAGAGGCTTTACACTTTTATTTTAGCAGATTGGGCTTTTTTGGCCCATTACATTCGAAACGCGGTGGGGAAAAATATCTTGAACCTTTTTATTTTTTTGAAATTGAGACTAGAGAATTTTCATTTTGGTAGTGGTCCATTCTCGATATAGTGATATAAGGCCCGACCAAACCTTGAAAGAATCCAAAACCGAATATTTTTCGTTTTTTTCCGGGACCTTAAACCGAATTTTATCTTTACTTTTTGGATTGTATCGACCGATCATCTACTTTGATTCTAGACTTCTAGTTCTAGTAACCAAAAAACAACTATTCACAACGACAGTTTTTGTTGTTAGCCTTAGCCACAGCCCCACTACTGAATGATAATAGTTTTCCCATATTTTAAAAAAAAAATGGTCAGCTACCTCAACTGTTGGAAAATACATGACCACACATGCCAACTAAAAGAACGGACCCTCACCTACCTGAAGTATATGTATATCATGGTCACATATTCGAATTATATGTCGTCATGTATTCTACACCACAGACATAAAATCTCGGTTAACTGGTCTAAAAACTCTGGGTTGACCAATCGTTGACTCGTCGGAACCCAGTTTAAAATCGGGTCTGAAACTTATTAACCCGACACGTTGACCCGCTCCACGATCCGCTCCATATAATTAAGTTGGGCATTCTTAATGGGCCAGAATTAAAACAAAACGGCCCATCTTCTAATTAATTTGTTTCGTGAAAACAATAAAGCCCATCTTCATTAAAACATTGAATCGACACCATCTTCGTAAAAAGGTTTTATCTTAGATCTGTGGAGAACAAAAAATCCCCTTTTCACTTAGGGTTTATGAGAGATTGGAAGCGTTTGAAGCTAGAGAAGACGAATCCGGTGACATTGTTGGTTGAAATCGAGATAGAAGACGAAGTCGCGTTTCGATTCTCGTTCCAATGAGGTACATTTATGCTTGCGGTTTGATTTGGTAACTTTATTTGGTAACTTTGTAGGATTTATTTCGACAACAAGTTGTGGTTTTTACTGGGTCTGAGCATGTGGGCAAGTGGGGATGTTGTCGGGAACTTTTTAGGGTTGATTTGGAGATTTCTTTAAGTCAAGAGAAGAAAAAATTGTGTTCACACTCTTCTTCTCAAAATGATAGACTTGTCGAGTTTGTGTCGGCTTATGTTTGTCTTTATTCACATTGTTTATGTCTTAAAATGGCCTCTTTTCACATTGATAAATCCGTTTGTGTTTTTTTTTTTTTTTTGGTATTTTGATAGTCAGAAGATTACGGTGAAGGTGAAATGTCATCATCCTGGCTGCTTCAAGACAGAGGGTGGAGTGTTAAGCTACGGTGATGGAATAGTTGATGTCTTAGAGGTGGATTCTTTGACAATCTTTGAAGATGTTGTCATGTATTTGGTTGCAAAAGACAATAATAACGTTGGGAGGATGTGGTACAAGCTACCTTACGAGGACATGTCAGACAGGATCCCTCTGTGGGAGAATGTTGAGGAGAATAAGAAGAAGTTGGTTGCTAAAGCACGCTGGATGGGAGAGGTTGACATATACTTTGAGAAGCCAATTCAATATTCAATAAATGAAGAAGTCACAGAAGCTGCCAATAAGGAAGCCAGAGACACAGCAACTGCTTCAAAGAAAGCCTCAAAAGTAGCTGGTGTGAAGGTCAAGAAAAAGAGAAAAGTAGTTACCAAAGAGATTGTGTGTGAAGATGAAGACAGTGATGGTCAGAAATCAGATGCAGGGTTGTCTGAATCATCAGACTCAGATATGGAGGCTGACATTGCTGAGGAAGAGGCTGTGAATGTTGAGGAGGAAGAGATTGCAGTGTTTAACAGTCACAATTATGAGGAACAGATTCCAGATGAAGACGAAGTCTATCCTGCAACAGATGATGAATCTGGTGATGAGGAAGCACAAGCAGAGAGGTTGGTTAAGAGGGGTTTACCAGATGGTGTCTTCAGTTTAAGGCAGGTGTTCTGTAGTGGGATTGACTTTAAGAAGAATGTGGTCAAATATGTTTTGAAAACCAGAAGGAATGTTTTTTATGATAGATGGGAAAAGGAGAGACTTGGTGCTAGATGTAAAGGAAAAGGATGTAGCTGGAAAGTTTATTGTGCTGTGGAGAACCCGATTGGCAAGTGGATGGTGAAGACCTATTTTCCTGACCATCAATGTCATCCAACAGGAAGGTGTGAGATTATAAAGACCCCTGTTATTGCTAATTTATTCCTTGAAGACATTAGGAGAGATCCAGCGATGAGTGGTCCAGAGATAAAAGATGAGATGAAGAGGCAGTACAACATTATTATCTCACCAAACCAGGCTAAAGTTGCAAGAAGACGTGTATTTGATAAGCTACAGGCTGAATGTGATAACCAGTTTGCAAGGTTAAGAGATTATGAGCAGCAACTACTTGAGTAAGTATTACCATTCTAAATAGATTCCTTTATTCTTTGTTGTTTGTTTTCTGGTTTGACTAACTGTTTTGTTTTTCCTTTTAGGTCCAATTTGCATACTACAGTAGAGATTAATACAACAACAAGAGCTGATGGCAGTGAAGCATTTCATCAAATGTACATCTGTTTTGAGGCGTTGAGGACTGCTTGGAAGCAGAATTGCAGACCAATCATTGGTCTAGATCGTACATTTTTAAAGAACTCGATGAAAGGGATGATGCTTACTGTTGTTGGAAGGGATCCTAATAATCAGATATTTCCAATAGCATGGGCAGTGGTGGATTGTGAGAACAATCCAAATTGGGAATGGTTTGTTGGCAAGTTGAAGAGAGATTTGGGCTTGGGGTTAGGTGAGAACATCACTCTCATTTCTGACATGCATAGAGGCTTGATTCATGGGATTTCTACTGAGTTACCAATGGCAGAGCATCGAGCTTGTGCTAGGCATATCTACTCGAACTTGAAGAAAAATCACAAGGCTGACATGTTGAAGCCTTTGTTCTTGCAAGCAGTTACAACAGTGGTGATTATAAGGAAGATTTGGCATTTTCAAGGAGTTTGATGCACATGCTTGTCAGGCTCTACTTCAAAAGGATCCAACTACATGGTGTAGGGCGTTCTTTAGGGTTGGTTGTTGTTGTGCTGATACACACAACAATCATACAGAGTCATATAATAGAACTTTGAAGATTGCAAAGAGAAAGCCGCTTGTCCAGATGTTAGAACTAATAAGAAGAGATGCAATGCAAAGAGTAGCCAACAGGTCCACTATTGCTGAAAAAGAAACTGCAAAGTACACCAACAAAGCAAGGACAGAGGTACAGAAATCATGTGAAGGAGCTCAATATTGCGCAATGGTTAGAACCACTGGCGGGGAGTATGAGATTGTTGAGTTTGGAATGGGATATGCAGTTAGCTTGAGTGATCGTACTTGTGCATGTAGGATGTGGGATTTGACTGGTATTCCATGTCGTCATGCTGTATGTGCAATCAGGGAAATGAATTTTGAAGTGGAAGACTACATCTCAGACTATTACTTGACTGCAAAATGGCAAAAGACATATAGAAGATGTTTGAAACCTGTGAATGGATCAAAATTCTGGCCAGATTCAGGAAGACCAAGGATTGCAGCACCACCTTTCAAGCATCCTGCTGGGAGACCAAAGGGTAAAGCAAGGATCAAGGGTTTAAATGAATCACCACGCAAAAAGAAATCTGAAACAAAAGTTGGTCGGGAAGGAAGAATAGTGCATAAGAAAGTGTCCTCATGAGGTATATATGAAATTTTATTGTCTCATTGTCATCTGCCTACACTCAAACTCTGTTTGCGTTTGATTTTGGTCATTTCTCTTTCAATAGTCTCCAGAGAGCAGGGCAAAGAGACTGCAACAAAACAATGTCCCTCAATTGGAAGCTCAAGATCAAGCTGAAATGGAAGCTGCTTTTGCAGCAATGGAACAGGCACCTCCTGAGACTCAACCTGAAGTGCAAGATGTTTCTTCATCCGAACCTCAGATTAGCTTTATCAATAGGGTACTATTTGGATGAGTGGATGGTATGTAGAGGGTGTAGAAATTTTTTGTTCATGTGATTTGGTCATGTATTTGATCATGTCTTACACTTAATCGGCTTGTTTTGGTCATGTCTTAGGTGATGTTAACTTGTTTTGGTATTGTGTTTTGGTCTTGTATTTGGTGATGTTAACACTTAATCGGCTTGTTTTGGTCATGTCTTAGGTGATGTTAACTTGCTTTGGTATTGTGTTTTGGTCTTGTATTTGGTGATGTTAACTCTTAATCAGCTTGGTTTTGGACACATTTTAGTTTATTTTTGGTCATGTAATCAAATATCTTTGAGACAAACGAACTACTCAAGCTACAAATTCATTACTACAATTTCATTACCAAACTACAAATTCATTACCAAACTACAATTTCATTACCAAACAAGAACAAGACAAACAAACTACTCAAGCTTGATGCAAATACTCTACTTAAGACAATAACTCAACTACAGACAATTACTCCAATGGCACATACAAGTAAACCCGTCAAACCCGTGATAATTACTCGTTGGCGATGCACAATCTTTTCCAGCTCCTTAATCTTAGCCTTTGTCTTTAATCCCATATCAATTGAATATTTCTCATCATCGTCGGAATCAATTGATGATATCTCCCATTTTACCTTCTCCAAATGGTCACGGAGCTCCTTGATTGTCACTGTTAGTTGATCGATCATCTTGTTCTTCGCATTAATTTCAGCTTCAGCTTCTATGAGCGAGCTTTTCGGCAATCTCTTCAGCTCTTCTTCTTCAAACCACCTAAAGAACTTGCAATGAGCATTACTTCCTTCCTTGTACAACTGACAGCCAAAGAACCGCCGATTTGGATTTTTCTCAGTTTTGGATTTGTAGATCTTAGCAGGTAATCCATAATCACACACTTTCCGGCCTCCATCTAAACTCCTAAAGGTACTAGAAGATCCCGAGCTTAATTCCATCTTCTCACCTCCGTCGAACTCCTTTTCACGATGAAGAAAATAAACAAGAACCCTAAAATCGATTTTTCAGATTTTGAGGTAAAATGTGGTGGAGAAGAGGTCGTGGAGCAGGCTTCAACGAAGATGGGCCGTTTTGTTTTAATTCTGGCCCATTAAGAATGCCCAACTTAATTATATGGAGCGGATCGTGGAGCGGGTCAACGTGTCGGGTCAATAAGTCTCAGATCTGGTTTTAAACTGGGTTCCGACGAGTCAACGATTGGTCAACCCCGGAGTTTTTAGACCAGTTAACCGAGATTTTATGTCTGTGGTGTAGAATACATGACGACATATAATTTGAATATGTGACCATGATATACATATACTTCAGGTAGGTGAAGGTCCGTTCTTTTAGTTGCCATGTGTGACCATGTATTCTCCAACAGTTGAGGTAACTCACAATCTTTTTTCTCCATTTAAATATTAGAAAGATATATATTTATTAAAGAAGAAAAATACCAAAAGAAGTGGGTTTGTTGCTAGTTGCTACTAGAATCTCAGATCAGCTTTTGTTTGTGCATATACATCAACATGAGATATATGTAACAGTTTTTTTTGTTGCCTAACATTTTCTTCTTCTTCTCTACCTTGACTAGGACAGTTGAACCCAGGAGCTACAAGATCAGGCGCCTAACATTCTTTTATAAATCGTTTTAGAAATAAATCAACTCAACTAAAATTTGAGGTAACAATATAAAATATGGGGAAATGAAATATTCATCTATGTTTTGTTTAAGTGTATTCTCGCAATCAAATATCATATACGAAAAAAAAAAAAAAAAAAAAATATCATATACGTGTCCGAATAGGATCTCTTTCTAAAAATAATAAATAAAAAAAGTAAAATTTTATATTTACATATCAATTTTTTTTTTCGTCTGAATAATATTGATAAAACTTCGAAAGATATAACGACCGGCCAAATAGTTAATATCCATGGTAAGATAAATCGGAAACATTTACATATCAATTACAATCTGTAATTTATACAAGAAAGTTAACATATCAACTATATATTTAATTTAATAAACAAATTTGTAGAAGACATAATTATTTTGAAACTATCCTTTGGTAACCATTTACATATATCAAAATGAATATTCTAGTCATTTCACTAAAATAAACAAACTTTGATGACAAAGATCTCTCTAGTATCATTCTTATGCATAGAAGTATGAGTGATTTGAGCCAAAACAACACAAAAAGAAAGAATAAGAATGAGTGATATAAATTCATCTCTTTATCTTAAGAAAAAATAGGCAATTGTTTCCAAAAACAGACAAAAAATAAAATAAGGAATTAACGAAAGGAGAATGCCTAATTTTCAGGACACGCGTCACATAACAATTTGTCAGTCGGAGACTTTTTTGGTACATTAGTGTCGTCTCTTTTTCTTTTCCTTCAATTAAAAGGTACACACACAACATGGCCTAATTATTTTTTTAAGAAAGACATTAAAAGCCCGAAAAACTATGACCGTCAGATCAATTAACCTTTTCAAATTCAACGTACACGATTCATCGTACAACTGACGATGAATAATAACCAAGGAAAAGTGACGTCATCGCCTCCTTCCTCCTCCAACGTCCAATAAAGAAGCGCCACTCACAGTCACACGAATACTCTACTGTAACTGCAAAATCTTTTGTTGTTTTCTTTAAACGAAGAGAGAAGAAGAAAAAAAAGCGTTACGGATTCTCTTCTTCGGTTTCGCCATTGAAGCTTGAAATTTCATCTGTAAGATCATCTTCTCTCTCGTTTCTTTCTTTCGAAATCCGTCGATTAGGTCATTTTTCTCTATCTTCTGCTGTTAATGGTGCTTGATTTTGATTCCTGCTTGTTGAATCGGAGCGGTTTCGTTTTGATTTTGCGTTTCTTGTCGGTTTCTTTTCGTTTTGAGCGCCGAGAACTTGGATTGTTCTTCGCTGATGATCGATTCGTCGATTTACTTTGATTCGTTTGGATTTGTTCTATTTTACGATTCTATTTCAGTTTTCCGATTGATGTAGCTTAGAGTAGTTGGTGATGTAGCTTAGAGAACTTGGATTGTTCTTCGTATATACGTTTAGCCTCTCACGTTGTTAGATTGTTGTCTAAGATGATATGGAGTTGCTTGGTATGTGTGCTTCATTTCTCTGCTCGGATTTGAATAACCATTCTCTGATCTTTCTAGAAGTTTTGTATGGTTTATATGATTGGAACGTCGAAGGATTTGTCTGGTGGTTATTGTATGAAATGTTCAGTAGTGAGAATAATTTATATGATTGAATGACTTTCCTTTTGTTTGCAAGTTATAGTGGACATTCGATATGGCTGAGAAAAACGATGAAGGAAGCGCCAAGGGCTATGCTTTCCCTCTCAGGAACCCTAATGTTACTCTGAATGAGAGAAACTTTGCAGCCTTCACTAACAGATCAGCTGCTGCTCATCCTTGGCATGACTTGGAGATTGGTACGCTAATCTTGTGATATATGCAATTTCTTCCTATCTGATTCATAAAAGTGGCATGTATCCTTGTCTTTCTTACTTTAAATAGTCATGTGAGTGAAAGCCATTCATGTCGCTGCAATGAGGGAAAATGTTCATTCTTTGATGTGAGTGTTTGTTTGTTGAATCTTTCAGGTCCGGAAGCTCCTGCTGTTTTCAACTGTGTAAGCTTTATCTCCTTTTGCATCGCAGAAGATTATATCATTTTAAGAAAGCTAGTGCTGGTCCTGTGATTGTTAAACGAGCTTGAAGTCTTTGTCAGGTTGTTGAAATTAGCAAAGGTGGAAAGGTTAAGTACGAGCTAGACAAGAACAGTGGCCTTATTAAGGTACAGTGTTCTTTGGCAGTCTCTGAGTATATGTTTGATTGAGTATAACCTGTCTTCCCATCCCTCAAATTCTTGTTTGATTATGCGGTTATATGCATCACTGCATATATGCAGAATGATGTATCATAAGTCACATTTTATGCATTGCAACTAAATATCCTTCATCATAAGAGTCGAAATGAAGAAAAACTCTGATGACTGAAAGTTTTTCCTCTCTAGGTTGATCGCGTTCTCTACTCATCCATTGTGTACCCACACAACTACGGTTTCATTCCTCGAACTATCTGTGAAGACAGTGATCCAATCGATGTCCTGGTACTAATGCAGGTGCTTTCTCTCGCCTCTTCTTAGCTTTCATGTTCTTACAAACTTGATATAAGCAGGCAGTGAAATAACAGACTTGAGCTAATTATTGTGCAGGAGCCTGTGCTAACCGGATCATTCCTCCGTGCCCGTGCTATTGGTCTGATGCCCATGATTGATCAGGTAACATTAACCCTTAAACCCAATTCTACCTCTCTGCCATGTATAACCTTACCATGAATCACCTTGTTCTGAAACTTGCAGGGTGAAAAAGACGACAAGATCATTGCAGTATGTGCTGATGATCCCGAGTTCCGTCACTACAGAGACATCAAAGAGCTTCCCCCTCACCGTCTAGCTGAAATCCGTCGCTTCTTTGAGGACTGTATCCTACAGAGACATACTGCGTTTAACGTATAGTTTTGTTTTGGCTTATGCTTTGTTAGTTTTCAGATTTGCACTTAACAAACAATGTTTAGACAAGAAGAATGAGAACAAGAAAGTCGACGTTGAAGGTTTCCTTCCCGCTCAAGCTGCCATAGACGCAATTAAGGACTCCATGTAAGTGTGTTTTATCCCAAACACCAAAGTAATTACACGTTTACTTTGTTAATAATGAGCAATGTACTGTTTTGAAACGCAGGGATCTTTACGCAGCTTACATCAAAGCTGGCCTGCAACGCTAATGAAGAACCAGTCCCGTCTGTTCACTATCACTGAAGCCGCCTTCTATACTACATTCATGTTAGAAAAAGTTTCACTTGGTGCATTTTCATAATGCCCATCAGAAAACATTGTTGAACTCGAACCTTTCTGATGATGATGACAAATTCCAGTACAATCATAAAATTTGGAATATTAGCTTTTTCTTTTCCCCAAAATTTTGTTTAATGTTGATTGCAAACATCCGAAAAAGTTATGTCATACAAATTGAAGATACAAAAGACTTAAGCTACTCGGGGCTTCTTCTTCTTGGTTTTCTTGTAAGTCTTATGCCAGGTCTTGTAAGTGCCCTTGGTCTTCTTAGAGTTCTTATTAGATGTCTTGGTCTCAGGATCTGTAATTTCGTCTGCTGCATCATCTTCATCTTTGTCTCCTCCAATATCAAATAGATCATCTTCTTCTTCTTCATCAGAACTCAACACAAAATCTTCCACAACATCATCATCTCCTAAGCCTTGCTCATCCTGCTGCTTCTCTGTTTTACTCTTCCCACCTCTCTTCCTTTTTTTCTTTTTCGTCTGCTCTTCCTCCGGCTCTTTTTCTCTGTTAATTACACATTTGCTTTAGGTTATATCACAACGGTCAGATAAAGTATTGGCATTATAACCGTAGGAGACAACCAGTTCACTCCTATCTAGAATCCCCAAGTTAATCGAGCCACCCGTAAGTCCGTAACTATCCAAAGTACTTAAAACCATAGACCCAATCTTAATATGGATGTATTTGGGGGATTGATTTTGCACGAACAACCCCTACTCACACCATAATCTACCACACCAAACCGGTGATTTACCATATGAAACCCTGATGTGTGGATTTCAGGGGAAAGAAAGACATACTTGGAGTCACTTCCTGGTAACCAGGAAGAATTGAAAGCTAAAGCACCCTTTTCAATCCTATCTGCATCATCTTCATCATCACTGCTAGGTGCATTTTTCCCAAAGACAGCTGAGTTCTCTCCCACAATAACACTGGAGAAACCAAACGGATTATTAGTACCAGTCAAAGTCATACAACAAAATATATACAAGTGATCAATTTTAGAGGAATGTAACGCACTCTGATTCCACCAGCGATTCGTTTCTTTGCTGAGCTCTTTGGCGGATAATTTCCATGTATTGCAATAAAGGGCTTTTTCCTGCCTTCTTCTCATCCTGAATAGATAAGACCCAAAAATCATTCAAAACAACGTACTATAAGAGAAACCATGATTCTATGCTTTGCAATGATTTTGAATTAATCATGTGCTCTGTAACCATAAACAACTCGTAGTACACACACATAATTTTCAAGGATTGCAGCAGGAGTTCACAGATTCATGAAAAAAAAACAAATATAGGTTTTGTATTATTATAGCTAACAATTGAAAAATTCAAATGGATCAAGAGAAATGAGTTACTAAACCTCAAGGAATGATTCAGAAGCAAGATCATTGGGTAGAAACTTAATCGAAGCTCTCTTTTTGTTGACAAACTCTGAGTTAGCTTCAATCTGAAAAGCAAAGAAAAAGAAAATAAGCGAGAGAGATTGAAGGAGCATCAACACAAAAGTCAATATAGCCAGTTCTTTTATTGCAAGGACAAGATACATCGAGTAAAAGCCCATTTCTCTTTTTCTAAGGTACCTGGATAATGAGTTGCTTCATTTCTTTCCTAAACCTCTCAGCTTTGGTGGATTTGAAAAAGCTACGCAGCCTTATGGTCGGGATAAATGATAGTTCAAAGAAAGCGACGGAACAACTCCACTGAGACAAATGCTCCACAAGCTCCTCCACTACAGAATAAACACATGCCTCCTGAAACGCTCTTGTCTTCACTGCTGGTTTACTTACCTAGAAAGAGATTTCAATATCCAAAATGATTAGTTTGCATGATAAAATTTCATTCTAGTCTTTTTATTAAAGACCCAACCAAGTACGTGTTTACCTTCAGTAGTGTGCGTAAGTCTACACCTTTGCCAACACCTCCAGTGGGAGGTCTATTGAGCTCCTTCATCTCTAACATGTCCACGAGAAGCATTGAGACAGGTATAAAGGTACCGGTCGAAGCAGCAATCCGGTTTAGCATACGAACACATCTTATTCTAAGGGGAGTGTAGCGAGCAGTGGGAACAAGTCGTGCTACACCAGTTATTATTTGAGCTAGCGGATAAGCAACTGGTCTGAGTTCAGACTGAGAGCTGTAGGCACAAACAGCTCCCGTCCAAAGCTCAAGGCAATGGATGAATTTCCATTGATACACTTTCCGAAATGCTTCCTGTAAAAACAACCAAATGTAAATAAGAGTTAACAACTTTTCTCAACGCATAACTATTGGCAGAAGAACTCAAGTCCTGAATATTAGTGAGAACATACTTTTGTTTTTGTGTTAAGCGCTTCACGCAGAATCATTGCCAATTGCCTTATGAAGACAAATGCGTGCTGATATGCTGCAGAGATATCTGTGCCGAGAAGCTCAATGAAGCAATTACCAAGAAACGAAATATGCTGCAATTTATCAGCATTCACAAACTGGCAATTCAACACATACGCTTTGTACATTCCCTTGAAACAGTCATCCACACAGTCAGATCCAAGACGTATGCACAAATCTCTCAGGAACAACAAGGAAACAACAGAGAGAGCGCCACTACCAGTTCCCCAGAAATGAAGTGCAACCTAGTTGGAAGAAGAGCAGCAATGACGTGAGCAAAGAAAGGACCATAAAGAAGAAACATGAACAGAATACTATTTTGCTCCAACAGACCTTAATATATTTCCTTAGGAGGCTAGGAAAAGCAGCTAGAAAAACCGATGAGTGCTTTAGGCGGCGCAGAGTATAGGTTATCATTTCTGTGTCGGTCATCTGGTTCAGAACATGAAGGGAATTCCCGAGATATGATTTGACTAAATGATTATAGTTCTTCCAAGGCCTGGTGTTCATCAGGTCCAATATAGTCTCTTTTGTTCCTCTAGTATCTTCAGGAAACCTTAACAACTTACGAAGAATCCCGTCCATTTCAATCAGAACGTATGACATAATCTTATTAAACACCTCGCTTGACATAACGCTAAACTTTGTCGATTGATCGTCCCCGGTATCATCACCATAGTGACATGCAGTTCTATAAGCTCTCAAGATAGAACGCACTGCACCTAGCTTCGCGTCAACTTTGATTGATTTACTCCATGAATTAACCATCGATGCTGTAATCGTTTTCTGCTCGGTCACTTTCTTTGCAATTTCCATCTTTGTTGCTTCATCATCACCTTCCTTTTCAGTGTCTTCCAAGTCAGTATCAGGTTCAACATCAGTATCATCCTACAAAATGTGAATCGCTAAGACAAAAGCTCCGAACACATTGGCATCGAGTCACAAACTCAACATATACAATCTACAAACTCACCTCAATTTCAGTAGCATCAAACTTTAAAAGCTCTGCATCATGCTCTTTCATATACTGATAAAAATCAGCGTCCTGCGGAACAAAAATAATCCGCAAAAGTCATAAAAAACTCAAATTTTCCATTCATATATCATTACAATTAACACAATCAAACATGTTACAAAGATGACTCACCTTTTCTTGAAGCCTCTTAAGCTGTTCTTCATGCTCCTCAGCTTCTGCTTTCGTAGACTTCACCTTCTTCCCACGCTTCTTATCGGTCTTCTGATCCGTTGCTATATCATCTACATCGATTTCTTCAACACTCATGAGCTGTTCCTCGTGCTCCTCATCAGCTTCTACTTTCTTAGATTTCAACTTCTTCACACGCTTTTTATCATCTACATTAGATTAAAGGGTTTATCAATCTCAAATCCATTAAGCTCCAATCACAAATATATATCCAAAATTGAATAAAAATCGAACCTTTGGCACCCATTTGTTAGCACAACACTTTGATAAATCAACCTGCAATCAAAACCATCAATGGTAACAAGAACAAATCAGTTTAGAGTCGAGCTAAGAAACAGATAAAACCTAAATTCTCGAAATCAAAAAGAAAGAAATCGCACCGGGAACAACAAGAAGGACGACGGAGAGAAGAAGAAGAAATTAGGGTTTTAGGAGGTGAGGGTTTTTATTACAGTGTTGAGTGTTCCTTTGTTTTTTATTCAATTTATTAAACCGGACCAAAACCCGGTTTGATTTCGGTTGAACCGCAATTCGAATTGTTCTAATTTCCCAGAACAGAGCAAAAACAGAGTTCCCAAATTTGAGAAAACAGAGAGACACGTTAACGAGAGATTTACCTACGATTCCCAGAAAAAAAAAAAACTCGACGACAAAAGAAGAAGATGTTGTCGTGGTCGACGAGACGAGACTGCTGTCTGAGTAGAAGTCAAGTGTTGTTGTTTTAGGGTTTAGGGTTTATGTTTGTGACTAGCGAAATAAAGGTTTTATGTTTGACACGTCTACCAATCGGTTTAACCAAAAATCCAATTTGCGACTGTTTAACCGAATTATTTAGGCTTTAACCGGTCATGTGGTCTTAAAAATTATTCATCGATGTCAAACAAATAACCTCATCTGGGCCAAACTATCAGTTTTCCCTAGGTATGGGCGTTTAATCCGAAACCGAAAATCCGAACCGAAAAAATCGGATTAAAACCCGAACCGCATCCGAGAGAATAACCGATCGGTTGATTTTTATATCCATCGGATATTGGATAATACCCGATCCGATCCGATATCCGATGGGTATCCGAACTCATCTAAACTCTCCTCTAGAACCCTAGTCCCTAGTCCCTAGCAATACGAGATCAACTTCCCTTATTTCGATTTTCCTAGTAATACGGGATCCACTTCCCTAATCTTGATTTTCCTACTTCTTTACCTTTTAGGATGTTATGGTTTACCTTCGTCTTAAAACTTTGATGTATTGGCATGGTTTTATGTCTCACTTTGGTTTCAAAACTCTATGGTTTGCTATGGTTTCATGTTAGTTCAACTAGTCACTTCAGTTTTGTTTTGCGGTTTTCGAATTGTTTGGATTATTTTTAGATTTTTTGGTTAAATCGGATATTGAATATCATATCCATACCGATCCGAAACCCGAAATATCCAAACCGAAACCGATCCGAATTCTATAATTATCCGTATGGATATTAGAATCTATATCCAAAAAAACCGAAATCCGAAAAAACCGATTCGAATCCGATC